CAAGAGGTAGCATATGATCAGGAACTGATGGTACTGAAGGAAGACGTCCAAGCTGCACTGAAGGCATTGACAACAAACAAGGCTCCAGGAATTGATGGAATATCAATTGAGATGTTTCAACAAGTGGATGCAGCACTGGAAGTGTTCACTCGTCTATGCCAAGAAATTTGGAAGACAGCTACCTGGCCAACCGACCGGAAGAGATCCATACTCATGCCTATTCCCAAGAAAGGTGATCCAAATGAATGCAGAAATTATCAAACACTTTCATTAATATCACATGCAAGTAAAATTTTGCTGAAGATCATTCAAAAGCAGCTGCAGCAGTATATTGGCAGGGAACTGCCAGAAATTCAGGCCAGATGCAGAAGACGTGGAACCAGGGATATCATTGCTGATGTCAGATGGATCCTGGCTGAAAGTAGAGAATACCAGAAAAATGTTTACCTGTGTTTTATTGACTATGCAAAGGAATTCAACTGTGGATCATAACAAATTCTGAATAACACTGCAAAGAATGGTAATTCCAGAATACTTAACTGTGCTCATGAGGAACCTATACACATATCAAGAGGCAGTTGTTTGAACAGAACAAGGGGATACTGTGTGGTTTAAAATCAGGAAAGGTGTGCATCAGGGTTGTATCCTTTCACCATACCTATTCAATCTGTATGCTGAGCAGATAATCTGAGAAGCTGGTCTATATGAAGAAGAACAGGGCATCAGGATTGGAGGAAGACTAACAATCTGCGTTATGCAGATGACACAACCTTGCTTGCCAAAAGTGAAGAGGACTTGAAGCACTTTCTGATGAAGATCAAAGACTACAGCCTTTGTATGGACTACACCTCAACATAAGGAAAACAAAAATCCTCACAACTGGACCAATAAGCAACATCATGATCAACGGAGAAAAGATTGAAGTTGTCAAGGATTTCATTTTACTTGGCTCTACAATCAACACCCATGGAAGCAGCAGTCAAGAAATCAAAAGACGCATTGCATTGGGCAAATCTGCTGCAAAAGACCTTTTTAAAGTGCTGAAAAGCAAAGATGTTACCTTGAAGGCTAACATGCGCCTGACCCAAGCCACGGTATTTTCAATCGCATCATATGCATGCAAAAGCTGGGCAATGAATAAGGAAGACCGAAGAAGAATTGACACCTTTGAATTGTCGTATTGGTGTAGAATGTTGAATATACCATGGGCTGCCAAAAGAACAACCAAATCTGTCTTGGAAGAAGTACAACCAGAATGTTCCTTAGAAGCAAGGATGGGGAGACTACGTCTTACATACTTTGGACATGTTGTCAGGAGGGATCAATCCCTGCAGAAGGACATCACGCTTGGTAGAGGGTCAGTAAAAAAGAGGAAGACCCTCAACGGGATGGACTGACACAGTGGCTGTAACAATGGGCTCAAGCATAACAATGATTGTGAGCATGGCGCAGGACCGGGCAGTGTTTTGTTCTGTAGTACACAGGGTCGCTATGAGTCGGAACCCACTCGACGGCACCTAACAACAACATATGCAATGGAATACTACTCAGTCATAAAGGAAAATGAGTTTCTAAAACATCTTACAATGTGGATGAACTTGGGAGACATTATGTTGAGTGAACTATGTCAATCACCAAAAAAAAAAACCAAAAACAAGTATTGTGTGTTCTCACTTTATGAAATAAAATGAATAGGTAAATATACAGAAACTAATGTTCCTTAGTGGTTGCCAGGGGTGGGCAGGAGGGGGAAAAGAGGGAGAAGTACTCTCTAAGTAGTAGTCACTTTTGGCTTATAGAAATGGGAAAGGTGGCACTGAATATGGGTAAAGTTTCCACAGCATGACTGATGTAACTGATTTCAATAAGGTGTACATATAGAAAAGGGATTACTGGGCAAATGCTAGGTTATATATGTTCTTTAAATAATGTTATTTATTTTGTTGTTGTTGAGAATATATACAGCAAATAGAGAGCAACTGTTGTGCCTTGAATGGCCACTTGTAAGCTTTTAAGACCTCAAGCACTACACATCGAACTAAGAGGTAGAACAGAAGCACTAAACATGTTATTAGGCCAATCAACTGGGATATTCCATGAAACCATGACCCTAAACCACCAAACCAAGAAACCAAATCCCATGAATTGTTTGGTTGTACATACGCAGCCTCAGCAGCTTTTTTTTTCTTTTTTGTCGTTGTTATAAATATTAACTATCACACAACTTTTCCAATTCAACTTTTTACATATGTCTACTTATTGACAGCAACGACAATATTGGCCGTGCAACCCTACCCTTAATCAACGAGATTTTTCCATCACCATTAACCCCCCTTTTCCCTTTCCCTCCTACCCCTGGTAACCGCTAGTAAACTTTGGTCTCTATACATTTGCTTTTTCTTGTCTTTTTATATACGTGAGGTCATACAATATTCATCCTTTTGTGACTGGCATACTTCGCTCAGCATAATGTCTTCAAGCGCTATCCATACTGTAGCATGTATCAAGACTTCATTTCTCCTTCTGGCTGACTATTATTCCACCATATGTATGTACCATACTTTGCTTATCCATTCATCTGTTGATGGGCATTTAGGTTGTTTCCACCTTTTGGGTATTGTGAATAGCGCTGCAATGAACATTGGTGTACAAGTCTCTGTTTGAATCCCTGCTTTCAAGTCTTTTGGGTATATTCCTAGGAATGGAATTGTGGGTCATATGGTAGTTCTATTTTTAGTTTTTTGAGGAACCACCACACTGTTTTCCACATGGCCATGCCATTTTGCATTCTAGCAGCAATGGATGAGGGTTCCAATTTCCCCACATCCCTGCCAACATTTGTTATTTTCTGTTTTGTTTTTTTTTTTTTAATCTTAGCCATCCTAGTGGGAGTGAAATGGTATCTCATTGTGGTTTTGATTTGCATCTCTCTGACGGTCTATGATGCTGAGAATCTTTTCATGTGTTTGGTGGTTGTCTTAGTCATCTAGTGCTGCTATAACAGAAATACCACAAGTGGATGCCTTTAACAAAGAGAAATTTATTTCTTCATAGTAAGTGGGCTAAAAGTCCAAATTCAAGGCGTCAGCTCCAAGGCAAGCCTTTCTCTCTCTGTTGGCCTTCTCATCAGTGTTCCCCTGGACTAGGAGTTTCTCCATGCAGGGACCCCAGGTTCAAAGGACACTCTCTGCTCCTGGCACTGCTTTCTTGGTGGTATGAGGTCCCCCTGTCTCTCTGCTCACTTCTCTCTTTTATATCTCAAGAGATTGTCTCAGGGCACAATCCAATCTTGTAGTCTGAGTCCTGCGTTACTAACACAACTGCCACCCATCCTCTCTCATTAACATCATAGAGGCAGGATTTACAACATATAAGAAAATCACACAATACCAGGAATCATGGCCCAGCCAAACTGACACACACATTTTTGGGGGAACATAATGCAATCCATGACAGTGGTCATTTGAGGTTGTATTTGGTTTTGCAACAATAACAAAAACCAAAAAAAGGAGGGGAGCTACAGATACTGATACTAATTAGACATAACCAATCACCTCATCGGATTAGTTCTCTTGGTTTGAGGGCTTAGGGTTGTGGTCTTATGGTACAATCCAGTCAATTGGTATAACATTGTTTTTTAATGTTTTTATTGTACCTTAGATGAAGGTTTACAGAGCAAACTAATTTCTTATTAAACAATTAATACACATATTGTTTTGTGACACTGGTTGCCAACCCAACAACACATCAACACTCTCCCCTTCTCGACCTTGAGTTCCCCATTACCAACTTTCCTGTCCCCTCCTGCCTTCTCTCGTCCTTGCCCCTGGGCTGGTATGCCTATTTAGACTCATTTTGTTTTATGGGCCTGTCTAATCTTTGGCTGAAGGGTGAACCTCAGAACTGACTTCAGTACTGAGCTATAAGGGTGTCCAGAGGCCATACTCTTGGGATTTTTCCAGTCTTGGTCAAACCAGCAAGTCTGGTCTTTTTCTTGTGATTTAGAATTTTGTTCTACATTTTTCTCCTGCTCTGTCTGGGACCCTCTATTGTGATCCCTGTGGCATAACATATTTATTAAAGTTTATATTCTACCTCCTAGTGTGGTGGGTAGTATCTGGGGTCTTAAAAGCTTACGAGCAGCCATCTAAGATACAACTATTGGTCTTTATTTGTCTGGAACAAAAAAGGAAGAAGGAAGCCCAAGAATCAGAGAAGGAACTGGACTACAGGCCTAACTGTCTACATAAACCACTGCCTCCTCCACCTTGAGACCAGAAGAACTGGATGGTGCCCGGCTACCCCTACTGAGCATTCTAATCAGGAATACAGTAGATGAATCCTGATAAAAAGGCAGAACCATGTGGGACAGAACTTCAAATTCTTAAAGAATCCAGATGGACCTACTGAGGCTAGAGGAGTTCCTGAGACTAAGGCCTTGAGTTATGCTTCAAACCTTGAATTGAAACTACCCCCGAAGTCAGCTTTACACTAAGTAATAGTTTATTCTGAAAAGTAAAGATTGCCACCTTTGAGTATTATGTTTGCTTTTTTTTTTTTTTAATTATCTATATAAGACCAACAGCTATTTTAAAGCACAGATGAGAAGGTTGGGAAGATAGGGAGACTAACTAAATAGAAGTGAAACAACTAGAACAGACATAACGAGAATGGTGATATAATATGAAGAACCTAATCAACATTACTGATCAAAATGAGGAATGGGAGTGAGTTTTGCTGTGCATATTTTCACCAAACCCATTAAAAAAAAAAAACCCACTGCTGTCAAGTCGATTCCGACTCATAGCAACCCTATAGGACAGAGCAGATCTGCCCCATAGAGTTTCCAAGGAGGGCCTGGTGGCTTCGAACTGCCGACCTTTTGGTTAGCAGACGTAGCTCTTAACCACTATGCCACCAGGGTTTCCATTTTCACCAAAAATAAAATAAAATAAAATAAGAATAATAGACATATAGCTTTTCTTTTCCATGTCACTTACCATTTCCCCCCATAGTTTTCTGAGAGAATAGCTATCATTCTTTCCACTGATCCCAAAATGGCTCGATGTATGATCACAGGTCTCTTCTTATCATCCCCATCTTTACTAAAAAAATTAAAAATTACACATTTAAATATTTTCTTAAAACTTAGTAATAACTTTATCTTCTGATGATATACTTAAAAGTTATTTCCCCAAACTAGGTAAAATGATAGCTTCTTTATAAATCATCTTCAAGCATATAATGTACCATTTATTAGAAATAAGTCTTTTCTTTCAAACTCTGATGTCTTTTATGAACCAATAGGAAACAAAATACTACTAAAACACTAGATAATAAAAGTATCTAGGAAAATCTAAGTAACATCAGATCACTATCTCTTTACAACTCCACTGATTGCCTTTGTTCTAAACTACAGGCTAGATTTACTGATATTAACAGGCAGTCCTACAAATCAGATTTTTAAAAAAAATGACATCATTTTGACTCTGAGTTACACCACAGGTACTTTACTGAACAGTTGTCAAAGACACAAACACAAAAAAAAGAAAATAAGTTTCTGCATCTAAATTCTCATCTTACCATGAAACACTAAAGGTAATTCATGGGATAAACTGTTACTTTTTTTTTTTCTTTTTAAATTTTTATTTTTAGTTTTTTTTTTTTTTTAATTGTGCTTTAGGTGAAAGTTTACAGAGCAAATTAGTTTCTCATTAAACAATTAACACACATATTGTTTTGTGACATTGGTTGCCAACCTCATGACATGTCAACACTCTTCCCTTCTCGACCTTGGGTTTCCCATTTCTATTCTTCCAGCTTTCCTGTCCCCTCCTGTCTTCTTGTCCTTGCCCCTGTGCTGGTGTGCCCATTCAGTCTTGTATACATGGTTGAACTACATGTGTTATTGCTTGTTTTATAGGCCTGTCTGATCTTTGGCTGAAGGGTAAACCTCAGGAGTGACTTCAGTACTGAGTTAAAAGAGTATCTGTGGGCCATACACTCAGGGTTTCTCCCTCTCTGTCAGACCAGTACGTCTAGTTTTCGTGTTTGTGTGTGAGTTTGAATTTTGTTCTACATTTTGATCCCGCTCTGTCGAGGACCCTCTATTGTGATCCCTGTCAGAGCAGTTGGTGGTGGTAGCCAGGCACCATCTACTTGTGCTAGACTTAGTCTGGTGGAGGCTGTGGTAGTTGTGGTCCATTGGTTCTTTGGACTAATCTTTCCCTTGTGTCTTTGGTTTTCTTCATTCTTCCTTACTCCAGATGGGGTGGGACCAGTAGACGTATCTTAGATGGCTGTTCGCAAGCTTTTAAGACCCCAGATGCCACTCACCGAAGTATGATGTAGAACATTTTCTTTGTAAACTATGTTATGTCAATTGAGCTAGATGTCCCTGGGATTAAATTGTTTTGTGGGTTATATAGAAAAGGAAATATTTTAAAAAATTTGCATTGCTATAATTAGTTAAGTTGAATTTATTTTACATGTTTAATGATTATTTATATTTCGTATTTATTAATTGCCTACTTGTAACCTTTGTTCATTTTCTACTGTTTCTTTTTTTGGGGGAGGGGTAATTAATTTGTAAAGTAAATTAACTCATTTTCTAATACATACATGAAAAATACTTTTTACAAGTTTATTTATTTGTGTTTTATCTGTTTTGATACTATTTTTTGCTGTTGTAAGATTTTACTTTCGGAGAAGTCAAATCTACCAGTCTTGTTCTTTAAGAATTTTGGCATTAATGTTATGCAAAGAAGGGAGTTTCCCCAAGGTAATAAAGAGATTCTCCTACATTTTCTCTTACTACTTTGATGGTTTTTTTAAAAAGTATCTTTTATCCATATATAATTAATTTTTGTATTATTGTAAAATATGGAATTTCACATGTTCCCTCCAAATGGACAGTCAACTTTCCAGTGTCATTTATTGAATATTTCACTCTCTCCTCACAGATTTGAAATCCTCATTTCTCATATACTTTATCCTCATCTAGGTCTGTATTTGACCTATAGTGCTTCATTCATAAATAGCACTATTTTTCAATTTTAAAAAATTATTGTGATATGTATCATTTGTTGCAAAGATTGGTCAAAACATTTATGTCTTGTTTAATGAATAAACGTTTAAAACTGTGCTAAGAAATATAACATTACCAATACCTTTAAAGCCTCCTGTGTACCCCTCCCCAGGCATATCTCTCTGCCTCCCATTCTCGCTTTTCTTTGTAGTTTCACTACTGTTTAGTTTTTAAGTAAACTAAGTAGCAAGTGCATGCACACCTAGCTGTGTAGTGCTGGGGCAGGATGGCCACTGTTGGGGGAATGCCACCCAGAGAAGAGGAGCTGGGTCATAGACTCTCTTCACTTCCCTGAGGGTTTTCAGGAGTCCCTTCTGGGGAGTCAGCAGGAGTCCAGCGGAACCCAGGCTCACCATGGTCAAGGTATCAAGCAGGGCTTGATGTGGACCAGGTGCAGATATCCCACAGTAACACAGCCAGGGAAGTGGGCCTGCGTGTACTGTCTGCTTCTAGGGTCACTAGCCAACCTCCAGATCTCAGCAGAGTGCTTTGGGGATGAAAGGAGTAGGTTCTTCTCACAGTGTTTTGACTATAGATTAGATTTGTATTTCTGGATATCTCTCCCTTGAACCTTGTTTCTTTTGGTTTGTTTCAGTTTTTATCTTATTTTCTCAGAACAAGATTGCTTTGTTTGCTAATCTTTGATTTTTAAAACTTTTCATTAGAGACTGTCTTAGTCATCTAGTGCTACTCTAACAGGAATACCACAAGCGGACGGCTTTAACAAAGAGAAATTTATTCCCTCACAGTACAGTAGGCTACAAGTCCAAATTCAGGGCATCAGCTCCAAGGGAAGGCTTCAAGTCCAAATTCAGGGCATCAGCTCCAGGGGAAGGCTTTCTCTGTCAGCTCTGGAGGAAGGTCCATGTCATCAATCTTCCTTTGGTCTGGGAGCTTCCCTGTGCAGGAACCTCAGGTCCAAAGGATGTGCTCTGCTACCGGTACTGTTTTCTTGGTGGTATGAGGTTCCCCATTCTCTGCTTGCTTCCCTTTCCTTTTATCTCTTGTAAGGTAAAAGGTGGTGTAGGCCATACCCTAGGGAAATTCCCTTTACATTGGATCAGGGATGTGACCTGCGTAAGGGTGGTGTTACAATCCCACCCTAATCCTCTTTAATGTAAAATTACAATCACAGAACAGAGGACAACCACACAACACTGGGAATCATCACCTAGCCAAATTGATACACACATTTTTGGGGGACACAATTCAATCCATGACAAACATTGAAAACATTCAAAAGTAGAGAGAATAGCATAATGAACTCCCATGTACTCTCTCTCGAGTTCAGCAAATGTCAATTTATGGCCAATCTTGTTTAATCCAGATAATCCCATTACTGCCACTAACCACCATCCCCTAATTGGAAACTTAATTTTTTAAAATTTGTTCCACAAGTCCATTGGTCAAATTCCCTTTATGGCCTGAAACACTCCCTTGACATGCACCTCAAATTTAATGATACCCTCCTTCACTTGGGAAAAAGATGGAAAAGGCAAACTCTGACTGTTAATTGTAATGAAGTAAGCCAGCTCAAGATCTGTGCACACTTTTCTCAGAAAAACAAATTTTACATTATTGCAATAAATGTAATATGTGATGTTTACAAAGTTCTTATAAGAAATTTTTATCTAAAAATTGTACCAGCAGGCTACTACTGAAAGACACATACAAAACAAAGAAACAAATAAATAAATAAATAGACCCATTCATTAAACCTACCTGAAATGAGTTATAATTGGATATCATCACTGTCAATCTTTTCTACTAAGAACCATTATAAACAGAGCACCATCTCCCTTTGAAGCAGGATCCTCGACTGCAGACAAAATCCTCTGCCTAGATCACACAGAAAGCTTTGGGGTGAAGGTGGGAGGTGGCTTGAGTTCAGTCTTCAGTTCATAAGCTGAAACCAGTATGGTAACTTCCTCAATGTTATATAATGATATTTTTGTGTAGGGAATGAAAGAGAATTAGGATGACCCTTTCACAGGTCCCTGGGTATCCAGAAATTTGTCTCATCATTTATGCTAAAAGAATTTAAATCAGGTTTAGCCTCAAGAAGGGCAAATAATGACATAAACTATGCTTATACATCTATGATTTCACATGAACATTAGGCTTAATGTCATGTACCCCCAAATGATCCCAGTGGGATTTAGTTGGAATTACATTAGATTTACAGATAAACTGGAAGAGATTATCGTCACAATATTGATTCTTTCAACTTTAAGAATGTGGTATAAAATCTTAATTTAAACAAATCTTTTATAGCCTTTGATAACATTTAATGATATACTTCATGTAAATATTACACATTTCTTATTAAATTTATCCCTAGATATTTTGTTTCATTGTTGTTGCTTCTGAAATGTTTTATTCCATTGTATTTTCTAACAGGTTATTGCTAATATATATGAAAGAAATTCGATCTTTGCATTTTGAGCTTACTCAACTCTCTTACCTTACTTAACTCTCTTATTACTTCCAATTTTTCTCTGTTTGATTCTATTGGATTTCTAGACATCTTAACATCATAAAATAGTGATAGTTTTTATCTCTTTCTTTCAAATATTTGTACTTCCAGAACAATTTTAAGGAACAGTAGAAAGAGTAGGTATATTCATCACTTCCCAACTATATTGAGACATTTATTCCTGTTTTCTAATAAATGTCTTTATGATAAAGAAAATCTCTGTCTCTTCATGCCACAAGAATGTACAATACTGTTAAATTTTATCCAATGCCTTTCAGCATTGTTGAATGTAATGAATGACGATTCTTATACTTTTTAATGCAAAACCACCCTGGCTTTCTTAAGAAAAAAACTTACTCGAGTATGGTGATGATCCTTCTCCCCTCACACCTAAGCCATGAACAAATCCCATCAGTTCCATCTTCAAAATACATCCCAAATACCTCCACTCTTTTCATCTCTATTACTGTCACCTTGTTCTAATCATCATCATCATTTACCTGATCCACAGACTACTACTTCTACTTTTGCTCTCCTGCTCT